CCTTAATTACCTATTGTTGCAGTTCCAATATGGGCTGAGGGATAACCGGTGTGGCTCTGAGATAGGGTCCTGCTTAAAAGTCCTGGGTTCAACACACCTGTGCATGAATCAGTGCAGGGCTTTGTTATGCACTGTGGATATTCTGTGTCTTCTAGGTCAGGTTCCCTGGGACCCAAGGACTCTATGTGCATTTGCAGGGCCACCAGGATGGATGGAAGGGGAGGTGGCACTTAGCCAGGAGGACCTAGAATACTTGGCTTTGTACTCTCACCTAGTGTAACCTGTATATTTACTCTTTCTCTATATTTGCATGAGAGATTGAACCCAGAGAAAAACATTCTCTAGATAAAAGAAAAAATCGAGGAACAGGAGGTTGTGTATGTCTCCAACAGGCAGGCACCTGATATGGCCTGTCACTTGGCAGCTCACTGTGTTGCTTTCATGTCTCTGCTCTTCTGTGCTTGTCTGAAACTGACTGTGTGTGTGTGTGTGTGTGTGTGTGTGTGTGCGCGTGTGTGTGTTCATTCCTTTGTTCGTGGATATGGTGGAGGGAGAGTAAATGGGAAGACTCACTGGGACAGGAACTTTATAAATCCAAAGCCTAATTGTTATGAGATTGGAAAAGCCCCTTTGATGTGTTTGAGGGAATGCGCTTGACCCATCATTGAGTTGGTGGGAGGCCTGGAAATTACCAGCTTGTACAATAGGTTGGCAATGATTAAAGTCCAAGGTTGAGAGAAGAATCACTTGGCACACCCCAGCCTCATGAAGTAGGCTTCAAGGGATACTGACCAAAATAAAGAGAGTGAATACAGGTTGTGCACAGGAAGATTTATGGCTGCCTAGGGCTGTGCAGATGTGCACTTGAAGGTGCTCCTTCCAAACTCTGCCTGGGATGGATGTCAGCATAAGGTGTTCAGTATCTGTGAACTGCTTTCTTGCCTCTGACAGCCAGCTGAGTGGTGTCTTGACCTGTACGGAAGGGCCTCTGAGCTGTTGGCCTTTGAGCACCAGAAGGCTCAGGAGGCCAACTTCTCTGCAAGCCTGACTCAAGAGACCATGAATCTTAGCCCCTTCCGTGAAGTGGTAACAAGACCAAGGTGCTGTCTGTGTACAGTGTGATTATGGGAAGATTGTGGCCCAAAAAGTCATGTTCAATTGGCATGAGTTCTCCCCACATTTGGTGGTAAGTTCTTGATGTATGTAAATTTCTCTTTGGATTTATGGCTAGATTCCCTACTGGGCAGTTACTCAGTTGGAGACATTGAAGTTTAAGCCAAGAACAGTCTTGATTGTGTGTGATGTATTGTACTAGGCACTTTACATAGTTACCTAATATAAGTCTTACAACCACCCTAGGCAGTTAAGTGGTGTCTTCTCCATTTCAGGTAAGAAATCTGAGGTTTAGTATTTATTAGAATAATTGATCTGTGGATCCAGAGTTAGAATCTACCTCGGATCAATTGTTCAGTGTGACACAGGATAAAACTAGATGCCGCCTGACAGCTTTAATAACGGCCTGAAACAGCTTTTCACAGAGCAGATTTCTCCTCTGCTCCTGCAGCTGAAATCCCCCTGCCTCTGTCTCATACAGCTACTTTCCTTTCAAATTGTCTGCTAAGCCAGAAGCAAGTGGATCCCTTGAAGTGACGCAATGGCCATGCCGGTTCCATTTTTCTCTCATGTTAAACACCGGTCACAGAAGATTGTCCCTTTGCTGCCGAGTGATGTATGCTATAAATCCTTAGTGCACCCGAGTGGGTGGATTAATGAATGAGTGATAAATGGTGGCATCAGAAGGGGCAAGGACTCTTTGTGGGAACAACCATCTTCCTGTGTCCATGTGCTGTCCTCTCTTCCCAGGGCGGCATGATTGCTCTGCTGCTGTCCATCTTGTGCCTGGTGATGATCCTGTACACACGCCGGCGGTGGTGCAAACGCCGCCGGGTCCCCCAGCCCCAGAAGAGCGCCAGCGCTGAGGCAGCTAATGAGATTCACTACATTCCTTCTGTGCTGATCGGTGGCCATGGGCGAGAGAGTCTGCGCAATGCCCGCGTGCAGGGCCACAACTCCAGTGGGACTCTGAGCATCCGGGAGACACCCATCCTGGATGGCTATGAATATGACATCACGGACCTGCGCCACCACTTACAGAGGGAGTGCATGAACGGAGGCGAGGATTTCGCCAGCCAGGTCACTCGCACCCTGGACTCCTTGCAGGGCTGCAATGAGAAGGCAGGGATGGACCTCACGCCAGGTGGGATGGGAGAGAGGCAGCCTGCTAAGCCTTTGTCTCATGGAATGCGGGGAGGAATCATGGGATGTGCCAGTGCCCTTCCTTAGGTGGGCAAACCTGTTTCCTGGGCTAACTGAGCTGCTTTCTAATCTAGAAAATCAGAGCAGTGTAAAATCACAGCCCTCTCCTTCCACCACGCATTGGAAGCAGCTCCCTGTACATCCAGGAGAGTCACACCCTGTGTCATGTGTAACCCTCTAGGAAGTAAGGGGATTGTGAGAAAAAAATCAATGTGTACTGACTTTTCTTTTTTCATCGTCTCTCAGAGCTTTGCATAGGCAATTTAATTCTCCAATAAAGTGTAGGGGACTATGTGATTAGTTATTTTCACTCACTCCTAAGACGTGGGCCTGGAGTGTTTTAGTTGCGTTATCTTGTCTTTGCCTCTGTGGTCTCTACAAAGGTTGTATTTTTTTAACAGAAAATACAGTCGGACTTCAGATGTTTTGTGTATCTGAGGAGACACTGTGGGGAAGAGACTTAGATTTAATCCATCCCAACAAATCCACAGTAAAAAAAACACGCAGAGAGAGAAGGGCTACACTTTTCTTCTACAGTAGCCTGCCTCTCTCTTCAAATTCCATGTGCTATGAAGAAACACTTCCCCAAAGAGAAATCCTCAACAACAATTCTTCAACACACTGCCCAGTTGTCGTTGAGGAAAATGTATTTGAAATCACGTGGTGTTTAAAAATACATGGACTCCTGGTGCGGCATGAAAGAGTGAAATAACATAGAGAAAAATGGAATTCTGATATCTGGGAGAGAGCCTATATGAATATTCATTTTAATAACCCTAAAATCCTGATAACTCCATGCCTGAGAATGGAAGGAGAGGACAGGTCTTCCATAGCTCTCACGTGCTCCTCGGCCCCTGGCACAGTGCTGAGGCCGCCAAGTAGGCATAGAGAACACAGGGGTCACAAACTCAGGTGACCTTGGGGGCAGAGGCTGGAGGTCAGACAGTAGGGAATAGTGTCGACCAGATGAAGGAGAGAGGGCATGTTCTGCCTGAGTACACACAAATTCAAATTCTTTTAAAACTCTGTGCTGACCAAACAGAAATCTACAGTCTGTGTCTAGCCACAGGGTGGCAAGTAGTAACTTTATTGATAAAGAATTAGTTGAATTGGATTTTCGGTTGTAATCCTCTTACTTCACTCCTTCTCCCATAACTTTGTAGCCCCCAGAAATCAAAGAGGAGTATTTTAGTTTCTGCCAATCTCTCACTTTTAAGTCCCTTATATCTACTTGGTGCATGCAGCTTTCCTTGCTCTCACTTTCTTTTGGCCTTTTCTCTTAAAGGTTTGTCTCGACTCTTCCTTTTGCAGGAAGTGACAATGCCAAGCTCTCACTGATGAACAAATACAAAGATAACATCATTGCCACAAGTCCTGTGGACTCCAACCACCAGCAGGCCACCCTGCTCTCCCACACCTCCAGTAGCCAGAGAAAGCGAATCAACAACAAAGCCAGAGGTATCCATGCCTGATGTTAGGGCTTACAGTCGGATTCCTGACTAGGAGCAGAGGTGGGGCTGTTAACACCAGTCACCCACCCCCCACACACTTACCCACCACTGGGAGGTGTGTCCTGCCATGGTCTTCTGGACACCAGTTAAACACTACTTACTGAGAAATGTAAATGTGCAAACTTTTTGATCAAGCACTTTTACAGACAAGAATGTATGCTGAGGAAGTAATTGGACAAGGGTACTAAGATGTGTGCAAAAGCCACTTTGTCACAGCCTTGTTGAAAGGAGAGAAGATTTGAAAGTAGTTTAAATATCCATCAGCAGGGAATTGGTTCACTACTGTGTACCTTTCTCTACTGTCTGGTGGTTTATTATGCAGTCATTTAAAGTGGTAAAAGAGATCTGTTTGTTAATATGGAAAGTTGCCCACCCATCTATTAAATGGAAAATAATGATGTCATAAAAGAAAAGGTAAAAATAATGCCACCTAAAGAGGGCATTAAAAACCCTTTTCTGTTTCCACAGCAAAAAAAGACAGGGAGTATGTATTTTAAAAGTTAAGAGTGTTCATTTCTGATTTAGAATATTTAGAGGAATCGGAGTTGTTCTTTTATACATTTGAGTATATTTTCTGTATTCTTTTTTTTACATTAAATATATATTAATTCCAGAACCAGAAACACACACACACACACACACACACACACACACACACACACATACACACACACACACACACAGTATGATATTCTTTGCTCCCATGGCATAATTTCATTTTCTATCAACCAGAATCCTAATCTGTAATGGAAATGTCCCTTCCCTCCTTCTCCCACAGGGGGATGCTTTCTGGCAGGTGGGTGTCAGAAATAAGCCTAGTCTGGGGGATGCTGGGCTGGGTGGGGAGTTGGGCTCCAATGATTGCTGTCATGAGGTCTGCTTCTCCAAAAAATCTGCTTATCAGGAAGCCCTGTATCCCCTGGCTACTTCCCACAGATTGTTAGGCAATTGCTTGTCATCGTTATGAACTTACCCAGTGGGGATGCTTTCTGGCAGGTGGGTGTCAGAAATAAGCCTAGTCTGGGGGATGCTGGGCTGGGTGGGGAGTTGGGCTCCAATGATTGCTGTCATGAGGTCTGCTTCTCCAAAAAATCTGCTTATCAGGAAGCCCTGTATCCCCTGGCTACTTCCCACAGATTGTTAGGCAATTGCTTGTCATCGTTATGAACTTACCCAGTGATTTAACGTCATGAAGATGCTACTGAAAGTGTTGTCTCTGGCGTGCTTTTCATTTCAGCTGGTTCTGCCTTCTTGAACCCTGAAGGGGACTCTGGCACAGAGGCAGAAAATGACCCTCAGCTGACCTTCTACACAGACCCCTCTCGCAGCCGGAGGCGCAGTCGAGGTAGGAAGGGCAGAGGGTCAGGAGGATGGGGGTCTGGCTTTGAGGCAGGGGAGGCAGGGCCTATAGTGGGACTCTGTGAGCCAGAGCCAGTCGATGCAAGACAAATGCTTGGACCTCAATTGGTGTTTCCTCTTAAGGAAGAAAGAAGAACCTAGAGTGGAAAATTTCAGAGAATCATCTCTCCCAGATAATGGCACTCTCAAACAAGTTTTCAAGTTGTTTGAAAGGCTATTTCTTGGTCAGAAGACTCTCAATTCCTTCTGGAAGCCTCAGGAGTTACATTTTTGCTGTTTAGACACAGAAAATAAAGTCAATAATGTGTGTTGTATGTGAAAAAGTGGGTACTATTTGTATCCCTTCCTTACCAACCCTGGCTTTGGAATTGAGCTTGGCAGGTACATGGGGTGGGGACCAAGTAGTTGAAGAATGATTTAAGTCTGCCTTGGACCTTTAAGCCCCTACCCAGCAGGATCTCAGGACCTAGGCCTGCAGCCCCTGCTTCTGGCAGAGTTCGGAGAGCTAGTTCATCCTCATTGACGATGAAGCTGCGACTACAGGGCCCACTCCTTGGTGATGTTAGTGGCTCACAGATGGCCGATGTAGCTGCCACGGTCTACGACTTTACTGATGTCACCATCACCCCTGCAAGTTCTGTGTTCAGACACCAGAACTCCTCTGCATCTCAGTTCCCTCCCTCATGTATCTAGTAGCTTAACAATGCCTTGTGTACGGGGCTACTGTCAGGATTAAATTCTATTAAAATACATAGGGTTTGGGGGAGACCACCAAAACACTGTGCAGTCCGTATTGCTGCACTTAGATTTCTCCACAGTGCAGCCCCAGGTGCACATCTGCGGAAGTTTCAGACAGGGTGCCCTGGAGGTGCGGAGGGCCTGTTTGAATGACATCCCCTTGCGCTACACTCAGCAACACATTACCCAGCCAGTACTTGACCAGTTACCAACTGCACCCCAGGAACCGCATGCTGGCTCTGCCCTGCACCCACATGAGTTCCCCTCATACAGAGGGTACTCTTCCCAGAGGCTGGAGGAAAGTTTTCTAATTCTAATTCTGAGCTCTGTGGACTTCACTGTCATCAGCATTAAAGGGCTTGTCACCATTTTCCTGAAGAGACTGGGCAGGGGCTTGGGGCAGCCTCACTCCTGAAGCCTCATTTTCCCTGAGGTGAGAAGGTGGACAAAGGTGTCTCCCTCTCCCTTGGTCCTCATTACATAGGGCAGATACTCAACTCAGACCCCTCCAACCTCGGCCCATCCAAGCAGATTGTGTCCTGCTTTCTTGTTTAAGGAAAACAAAAACAAAATCTTGTTTAAGGAAATCCACGGTAATGAATTACAATGAGTTTCTTTACATCATCAAACCGTTTCTTTGAGTATCAAGCTCACCAAGTACATCACCCGTTTACTATTATTAACTAGATGGTAAGCCTCTTAGAGGTGGAATGTGCCTAATTGTTTCTTCAAAGAGCCTAAGAAAGGATTCCTCCTGTTATGGATGCTTGTGTTTGCTTAATTGGAGTGGATACATCAATCAGGCCAGCAAAACATTTTAAACCTACTTGCTATTGGTCAGGCTTCATGATCAATGGTTGAAACACAAAAACATGGCACAATGATAAGACTTCATTTAGTGATATAAGTAAAGTAAACCTAGCACTCATAGAGAACAGTGAATTCTACCTAGCAGCAATAGGAGGCAACAAAGAAAAAAAATTAGAACGTGTTATATACATTGTAAACGATTGCACGAAAGAGGAGTCTAGGGTAAGAACATTCAATAGAGGAAAACAGCACATGCAAAGCCTTCGAGCCATAAAAGAACATAACATTTTTGTGGAAGTGAAAGTAGTTTAGCAAGAGAGCTATAGACAAAGCATAAACAGAAGCACACTGGGATGGTAGGGATGAGGCCATGGAATCGTATACGTGCTGTGTTGTGAAGTTTGCACCTGCCTCTGTGGGCAGATGGGCAGCCACTGGAGTTTTGAACCCAGGTAGAGTTGCTGGTTTATGAGTTAATGATGCAGAGAAAAGAGAGAGACAAGAATATCGGTAGCAGGTGATTGCAGTCACATGATAGCAATGGCAATTGTCTGCAAACAGGCAGGACACTGTGTGCTAAGAGCTGTGACAGCAGGGTGCACAAGGACCAGAAGAAGAAGAAATGAGTGAGAATCTGTTCTTGAAAGTTTCAGGGAAGTGTTTACAGGGGGATGTTGTTCGAGCAGAGACTTGAGGAGTAGGTGTATACCGGGATGACAAGGTGACAAAATGGCCGTCTGTGGAGGAGGAAATAATATGTGCAAAGTCACTGAGACATAAACAATGATGATCAAGTTAGGGAGCAGCAAATCATTCCTAGAATGAAGCTTAGGGTACAAGTTTGTGAGTTGTTTAGAAAGTAAAGCAACAGAAGCCAGAAAGTACATGGCCTTGACTAGAAGGGGCTTGGGCTTGCATTTCAGGCAGTGTCCCTGGGAGCTTTTAAAGAGCTTTGCTCTGGTCAGCTCTGCTTTGCAAAGCACCCCTCTGAGGTAGTGTGAAGGTCAGGTGACAGCAGCTGAGGTTGCTGAGGGAGACAAGTGGATGGCTACCGCTGCAGCCCAGGAATAAGATGATGAGGGGAGGCCGGGATGGAGAGAATGGACGTGAGTGAAATTATGGACACAGAATGAAAATAAAAAAGATTTAATGGCATTGGTGGTAGGAGGGTGTGGCTCGTGAACAAGAGGGAACTGTTAGATGTGATGGAGGACTTTGATTTGAGAAGCCAATTATAGACAGCAGAGCCATTTGCTAGGCAATAGAAATAGGAGAGGGAGTGGGGTTTGAGAGAAGGTGGTGAGTCCGGTATAGGAAGGATTATATTTTAGTGCCCAACAGATGTGTTGGTGTTGGATCTGCTGCTGAGGCAGGACTGGGCTGGAGATCTGTGTGTGGAAATAGACTCCATTCTGCAAAGATGCTGGCTGGAACACAATAGCCTTAAGTAGCAAAGTCAGGGGAAATTGAGGCTACCTGCTGCCCTTGAGCTGTATCTTAACAATAAATATTAACAAAGAACGTGGGAACATCCTGAGAGACCTCCACATTTTACTGCCTTGCTTTCTTATTTTCCCACATCGATTCTGCCTTCATAAGAAAGGTCCTTCTGCTTACTAGCATTTTATCCTTTCCACTAAACATCCATAACAACCCCAAAATAAAATAAAACAAAACCCCTCCACCCTACCCCTGTCTTCACCTACCTGAGAGTATTTCTTTTTCCCAGCAATGATCATTCTCTCCCATGATTACAGGACAGTGGGTAGTTTTCTGGTCTGACATCATCCACTTATCCATGGTAGACTTACTGTGTTTTCTTCTGTCGAGGCTCCACACAGCAAGTCGCCTGTAGAACCCTCCATCATAGAGTAAACTCAAGCTCTTCTGGCTCAGGAAGCCCTGCCTCAGCCATGGTTGCCTTCCTGGGAGTGCAGCCCTCTGTCAGGGGACCTCTGTGGACAGTAATGGAACTGCCGTGTGGGGCTAAAGCTTTCTTACCCAGTTTAGCGAGCCAAGTGAGGGAAAGTTGCCTCTTTTATAACTTTTCCTGTGAACCTGTCCCAGGCAGGACATAGATGATTTGTACTTGAGTCACCCTTATTGACCCCGAGGGCCACCAGTTGGCTAAATTCTCTCCTACTCCAGCTGATGACATGATGTTTGTGAGAGTGAAGGTCACTGAGGTTCTGCAACCACGTGGGTTAGGTTTGCCTGCCTTCTTTGTGAGGCTAGACAGAGAAAGATCGCTTTGGACTTTCAGTGCCAAGATTTTGACTTACATGTCATGCTTTGTTCTCACTTTCAGTGGGTTCTCCCAGAAGTCCTGTGAATAAGACCACCTTGACTTTAATCAGCATTACCAGCTGTGTCATTGGCCTTGTGTGCTCCTCTCATGTCAGCTGTCCTCTCGTTGTCAAAATAACCCTGCATGTCCCCGAGCATCTGATCGCTGATGGTGAGCTCAGTCGTCAAGAATGCACGCTGCTTCCCCAGAGAAGAAGGTTTTCATGTTGGGTGAAATACAGAGAAGCCCAAGGGTCACTGTTTCCTATCACTGTAGTGTGAGGGGAAAGAAGCCCAAATAGGCAAGAGTTAGGAAAAGATTGGATTGCTTACAACTGAAGTAGGAAAGCAGATTATAAAGAACTAAAGATATTGCTTCTTGTTCTCCATGCCCAGTCCATTTTTGTTTAAAGTAAGCCCTTGTTTTTGTAGAGAAATGCAGAACACGATGGCTACAGATAGGTAGACACTTAGTTTCTCTCAGCCTTTGAGAAAGGAAAAGCTGAGAAGTAGAGATGTTTAAGGATTAGCCATGCTTTCAGTTTTCTTTGTCCAGGTGAGAGATTTCTAATTGGAGGAACTTGCTATCAGCCTAGAATTTCAAAGAAATACTTTACTTTCATCCAGGGGGACCCCAATATAATGAGAGAATAGTACAGGTTCTGAGAGTCCCTGAGTCATTTAAACCCACTGCACCTAATTGACTTGTTAATGTCTGTTCTCTCGGCTGCTATAAGGCTGGAAACAGGTGGGGACTGTTTGCAGTGCGAGAGAGCCTGCTATTTCATGGCAAGGGAAGACAGACAGTAGGTCCCCATTCCTTGGAAGAGGGCCAGTGCCTGTGGCTGGGTCTGATGGAGCCATGCCATGGCCATCACAGAGCTTCTCTGTCCCTGCATCCCTTAGGAACACTCTGGCAAGATGGGCTGGGTCACGGCAGTGGGGGATGACATGGCTGACAGGCCTAATGGCTCTGGCCTCACAGCAATCCATGTGATGTCCAGAACTCCATCTGCTGATTCCTTGCTCTGGTGCTAATGACAGGCTAGGACTGGGGGGCAGTAACGATCTGGGACTTGTGTGTGTTTGTTGTATGCGCGCATGCAGACCAGCTTCCTCTGTGTCGCCCTGCAGGGAGCCGCTTCATCCTCCTGGAGGGGAGCCAGCTGGATGCCAGTGACTGGCTGAACCCTGCCCAAGTGGTTCTCTTCTCTCAACAGAACTCCAGTGGGCCCTGGGCCATGGATCTCTGCGCCCGGCGGCTCCTGGACCCCTGTGAACACCAATGTGACCCCGAAACTGGTAGGCAGGAGCACCGGGCAGCGGGTAACTGTCAGAGAGATCATGCCTCTTACAATCACTCCCTTGAAACTCAACCCACTGTCTCATTGTCATCTTAAACCTAGACCACGCAAGCTGCCAGCTTGGTTGGGCCACCAAGCATAAAATGTGCACACATCTTCTGGAGGAAGCCTCGGCAGGACCCTAACTCGGCCCACTCCAGAAAGACCAGTCCAAAATGACCTTCACTGCCCAATTGTCATCCATCCGGTCTAGCCACCGGGGTAGACATTTTATGATATAAAATGAATGCATGTTTATTGTAGAAATTCTATAAAATTGTATAGAAGCAAGTTATAGCCATGCTTCTTTCTACCTCCTGGATAAATTGATTTTAAAATTTTCACATATTCCGGTATAATCTCTTCTCTGTAGATGATATTTAGAGGCTTCCTTTGAGCACAGTAAGTCTACTAGACTTTTCCTGTTTCCATTCACTCACTAATTCATTGTAAGTTTTCCAAAACTATTAAATAATCCTCAGTAATTTACTTTTGGAAGTACTGGGGATCAACTCCTGGGCCCTTTGCATACTAAGCAAGCATTCTGCCTACATCCCCAACCTCAAAAATATAATTTTCATGCCCATTTGGTGTTCCTTCATAGGTCTATATCATCATTCACTTAACAGTTCTGTCTTATATGACAGAATACTCTAAAATTTTAATTTTATAAGTATCATTAAAATGAAAACGATTACACATAAATATGGGGCTCAGCAAGTTGTTTATTTTAATTTTATAAGTATCATTAAAATGAAAACGATTACACATAAATATGGGGCTCATAGCAAGTTGTTTTTTTCAGAAAAGACTTAGAGAAAGATAAAGATTACTGGGAAAAGAAAACATATAGACATCTTTAAGCCTGTTGTACTATAAAAGGTATTGAGCACCTCTCTGTGAAAGCCCAGATTCAGGCCTGTCTTGAAGGAGCTTCGCTCTGCTCCTAGAGCTCAAGCAAGTTGGAGAGCCCATATCTGTGATTCCAGATTGTTTTGTACTCTCATTGTAGGAGGGCTTCATCTACAGCAGTCTTTAAAAAGACCTGTTTCCAGTAGATTGAGTACCACAGATCAATCCTTCCCAGAGAAGTAGTATGACTCCTTAAAGCAAAGGGAAGAGATAAAATGATATCTGAGACCTCTGAGCAAAATGTTGCTAAAGTCAAGGAGCAACCCTTCCAGATCTTCATATATCAGCCTCTGAAACACAGACAGACAGACAGACAGACAGACAGACACACACACACACACACACACACACACACACACACACTCTTTCTTCTGAGTGGGAGGGATCTTAACCAGTGTTTGAGTCTTAATATCTTTAGCCTTTACTTCTGTTGTAATTCATTATAAATCTCTTTAGGAAAGTATCAGGTAACTGTAACATCTAAAGTTCACGTTCTTAGGTTTTAAAGTTATTTGACGTGGGCCCATCACAGAGATTCTAGGCCCCCATATGGAAGAGAAAGTACAGCATTTTAAACATCTGATGTCTAAGTCTGTGCTTACTTGCTGCTCCTCCTACACTGTCAGGCAAACACCAAACCAAACAGATGGGCTGTACACCATGCCCAAAAGATAGTGTGCTCTGAAGAAATTAAAAAGAGATAATCTCAGAGGTAGGGCCTCTCTGTGCAACTGAGCTAATCTCTGGTACCTTCATCCTCCAACTGGTTTGGATTAAGATGCTTTGGGACAATTATAGCTGTTAAACACACCTCTGAGAGAAACATGGTCTGCAGAGAACCTTACATGCTTCCACTTAGATTTTATAGAACAGGAAGCAGCAATAGTTACACATGGAAAGAAGGGATTGGTGTTCCTTGCGTGTAGAACTGCCTTCTTTTTTTTACATCAACACTTGGATTCCTCTAGAAATTACATGACTTGCCCAGAGTCCCATGGCTGCCTGAAGTGAGAGTCTGTGTTTAATCTATTGTGAAATCAGAACAGAAGTGGGATTACAGAGGGTTCCTTAATTTCCCCAGACATGTCACATCCCACATTTGTCACTCAAAATTTCTTAAGCAACTGCCACTACTGAGCATTACTGTATGAGGAAGCTGCTAGTCTACAGCAGAGCTTTTCCATCAACCCTTCAATCCCTTCCAGATGTCTCATTTCAGACACTTCCTAAAAACTAAAAATAACCCTGGGAGGCCCATCCACTGAAATGATTCTCCAGTATCAGTGACAACTTACGAACTTCCAACTGGAGAGTCATGTTGAAAGGAGACTAAAAATAAGAACTGAAGCCCCACAGCAGAACTAAGGTGCAACATCTTCATTTTCGGTAGCAGCTGAGAAACGATGCTGCAGAGACTTTTATTTTCATTAATGCTGGAATTGGAAAGCCCCCCCATCCCGCCCTTCTTTCTGCACGTGGAATGATGTGGTCATCCCACATGCTCATCAGTAAGAAACTTTATCGCCTCCCACACTCCATCCTAGAGCCTTTCTCCATCGAGCTCAGTGTGGGAATTGGCTCCAAGTCAAATCGACATTATTTTTGCAATCTTCCAGCTAGCTTACTTGGAAATGTCAAAGTGTTGGGACATGTGCTTTCCAAGCCGTGCTGAGGGGTCTGCCCATATGGATGTAAAGACTGTGCAAGTGTACTTGTATACTTTTCACACACACACGCGCACACACACACACACACACACACACACACATGAACACACAAACACAGATGCTCATTCACTGCAAAGGAGCAGCCTCCAGTGCTTGGAGCTCTTCTCAGGCATTCTTCCTAAAACTGTCCCAAAACACCAAGTGTGGGAGACAGAAAGATCAGTTCCTAAAGATGTCCACATCCTAATCCAGAGAATCTTTGAATGTGTTATGTTGCCTGGCAAAGAAGGATGACAATTGCTTGTGGAATTGAGATTGTCAAACAACTGTACATTAGAAAGATTGTCCTGGATGATCTGGATGCCCCCCGTGTAATCCCAATGATCCTACAAAATCAGAGAGCAAGGCAGAGAGGACGTCAGAGTGAAGTGATGTGAGAAGGACTCAACCAGCCACTGCAGGCTTTGAAGCGGGAGGAAAGGGAATGATCCAAGAAATACAGGCAGCCTCCAGAAGATGGAAAGGCAAGGAAACATATCCTCCCATCCTCCAGCAAAGAACACAGTCCTGTTGACATCTTTATTTTAGCCCCCTT